CTGGATGTAGTATTAGGATCAGAGTGTTTAAATAGGTAATCTCCTAGCAGATTACAGGTATGGCAGCTAGTGTAGAATCTTCGGGTGGACTACTTAAATTAGATAACCAAAAGTTGTACATGTGGCTAGTTGCACACTCACCTTGTACAAGTTATATATAATATATTAACTAAAACACAAATAAAGGCAGTAGCTCCGTAAACATCGGCCTTAGTAAAATAAAAAAAATATATATATATATATTAATAATTAAATACCGATACATATATCAAATTTTTTATTATTTGGTTTTATTGAAGATTTACTAGTTGTTTTTATATTTGAACTTGATTCCTTTAGGTCGGTTATTGCTTGAGTTACTGGATCGATTTCTGAAGCAGGTTTAAATCCAGATTCCTTAAAAATCAAATATATATTTAGTAATAGCAATAGTAAAACTTATTATTTAAATTAAAAAATGCTAGTACTAAATATTAAAAAAAATTTCTAACCATATTTTCGTTCTTTATTAAAGAAAGAAGGTTTTTTTAGTCATGTAGATGGCAGGGGATATAACTATTACTTGTGCTTCTGGTTCTTCAAGTGAAAATGTGTCTATCAATATCACTGATTCTTTAAAAGAACAATATAAATCTGCTTTACCAGCCTTTATGGTTAGAACAGATATTTTGACACATTATTCAAGTATTATATTTATAATATGATTATATGAAGTTAATGTAATATGTTAATATTTTAATAGAGAATCATATTAATGAGACGTTGATTACTCAAGAAGACGAACGTGCGATGTTATATTCTAGAAAAAGATTTGAATCATAGAACATATGTGAAAACTTCATCAGTAATTGGGCTAAGAGACAGAGTTTTCGTATAGTTAAAGATCGAGTTTGTCATGATAATGAAATAATCTATCAACACACTTTTTTGTACAATTATAGTAGATCATATGAATCTATTTCAAATAAGAAGACTAGCACCAAAAAAATCAAATGTTCTTTTTTGGTTAATGTATCTTGCCCAAAGGTCAACAATCCTGATGCAACAATAATTGTTAACAAAGTAAATGATAAATATAATCATCTTTTAAGTCATAATATGATCGAGTTTGAAGATAGTAAAAAATTTACAGACAAGATGATAGCAGATATAAGATTTATGACAACAAGCTGCAAATTTGGTGCAACTATACAAAAGAAGTTTCTCAAAAGTAAATATTTCTTGCATGCAGTTTATTCAAATGAACTTTATGCTATTATGTGAAAATTTCAATCTGCCAAAAAGTTTTTATTTGATAATGCTGCAACAGTCTCTAACTGGTTGGATTAACAAAAAGATAATGACCCACGATGGATTGTTGCTAGAGGGTGGAACGATGAAAACTGCTTAACTCATTTATTATAGATGACTCCTCACAAGTTGAACATTGAATTAAATATTCTAACTATGTATTTCATAATGTAACTCATAAAACTAATAGATATAGCATGTCATTGTCATTATTTGTTGGGCTTAATCATGATCGGTATAATATTTTACTCACGCAAGTACTCTTAATAGATGAAAGCTTTGAATCCCATAAATGGGCATTCCTTAAAATTATTAAAGCTACTGTTATAGAACAGTTTATTATTTTATTAGTTTATTATTCCGATATTGTATTTTATTATTTATTTTATTATTA